GGAGAATAAACATATATAATCATTCAGTCCACTTAACATTCAGAAACAGGAAAATATAGTTTGGAGGGCTTGATCACCCCTCTTAATTGAAAATTTTGATACAAGAAAGCATAGAAGATCTAAGGTCGCACTAGACACCTAGGTACAAAACTAGGTACAATAGTTGGACAACTGGTAGATGTTTCCAACACACTACCCCTACTCAGACTACATAGATTTAATAATTATTCTAACACTCTCCCTCAAGCTAGAGCATACAAATCGTATGTACCAAGCTTGGAACAAATGAACTCAATCCGAGGTTCTCTTATGGACTTGGTCAACATATTTGTAAGTTGGCCATTTGATCCTACAAACTCGGTACAAATTTCTTTGGACAATAATTTTTCCTAAACAAAATGACAGTTAATTTCTATATGTTTGGTCCTTTCATGAAATACTGGATTTGACACGATGTGGACAGCAGCTTGGTTATCACAATACATTTTCATGGTCTGAACTTCACAAAAATTAAGCTCTCGAAGGAATTGTTTTACCCATTTAAGTTCACAAGTAAGAGACGCCATTGTCTTGTATTCAGCATCAACAATTGATCTAGCCACTACATTTTGCTTCTTACTTTTTCCATGAGATAATATTTCCTCCAAGGAAAGCAAAATATCCCGTAGTAGAGCGTCTATCAGCTGGGGAGCCTGCCCAATTAGCATCTCAGTATTCGGAGACTTGGACATTTCCTTTACCTTCAAATATCAATCCTTGTTCTGGAGCCTTTTTGAGGTACCTTAAAATACGAATGATGGCATTCCAAGGGCCAATACATGGGGCTTGCATGAACTAACTAACCACTCCAACTGTAAAAGATAGATTAGGCCTTGTAATAGTAAGATAAATTAGCTTTCCAACTAGTCGCCTATATCTTTCTGGATCAGAGAATGATTCACCTTCTTCCGTCATTAGTTTTTTATTTTGGTCCATAGGACTATCTACTGGTCTATAGTCAAGCATATCTGTTTCTTGTAAGATATCAAGAGCATACTTCTTTTGAGAGATAACAACTCCATCTTTTGACTGAGCTACCTCAATGCCCAAAAAATATTTAAAACTCCCAAGATCTTTGGTTTGAAAATGTTTGCACAAGTACTCCTTCAGTTGAGATATTCTGGCCACATCATTTCCTGTAATGACTATATCATCAACATAGACTATTAGGTAAATACATTTCTTAAGATGGGTATTACAATAAAAAAACTGAATTATTTGCTTCACTGCGTTTTAGCCCAATTTTTTGAACAACTGAGCTGAATTTACCAAACCAAGCATGTGGTGATTATTTGAGGCCATAGAGAGAGCAGCGCAACTTACAAACCTTACCAGACTCCCCCTGAGCAACGAACCCAGGTGACTCCATGTATACTTCCTCTGCAAGGTCACCATGTAGAAAAACAATTTTGATATCCATTTGATGGAGTGGCCAATGACTAATTGCTACCATGGCGAAAAAGAGGCGGATAGTAGTCATCTTGGCCACTGGAGAGAAAGTATCATTATAATTGATACCATAAATTTGAATGTACCCTTTTGCAACTAATCGTGCCTTGAGACGATCGCCTTCACCATTAGGACAAACTTTAACGATATAAACCCATCGACACCCAACTGCCTTTTTTCCAAGAGGGAGGGAAACTAACTCCCAATTATTACTCTAGTCAAGAGCCTGCATTTCTACAATTATGGTTTGTCATCATCCAGAATGATCAAGTGCTTCCGTCACATTTTTGGGAATGGTAATATAAGACACAAAGGATAGAAAAGAATAATAGGAAGGCGATAATCGATGATAACTAAGAAAATTATAAGTAGGATGTGGGTTTCGAGTGAAACAAGTACCTTTTCTAAGAGCAATGGGTCAGCCTGAATCTTCTTCATCAAAAGTTGTGGTATTGGGTGACGATGAAGAAGAATTTGAAGTAGAGGATTCACCTTGTTCTTGGATAATTGGACTAGTTATTTGGGTCTCATGGATATCAATAGCAGGAGGATTGTGACCACGACTAGGATTTGTAGAGATACTAGAATTAGTGGACTCACTAATTGTATAGGAAGGACCTGCTAAATGACATGCACATCTTGAACGGATGAAGAAAAATAAGGAGTATGTTCAAAAAATGTAACATTAGCATACATATAGTACTTCTTGGTTTCAGGAGAGTAACACTGGTGCCCCTTTCGAAGTCGAGAATAGACCCAAGAAGACAACTTGTCCAACCCTGGAGACATGTCATGAATAAAGCATACACAACCAAACACATGGAGAGAAATGTGAAAGAAAGGATCATTTGGAAAGGGACTTTATTATTGAGAGAGGAGGATGGCATCCTGTTAATAAGAAAGCATGCAGTTAGGATGACATCCCCCAATGATGGACAGGAATATTTGCACCAAGCAATAGGGTATGAACAATCTGAACTAAGTGTTTATTTTTCCTTTTTGCTATATCATTTTGCTGTGGTGCATAAGGACAAGTGGACTGATGTAATATACCATGCAAACTCAAGGTTGTAGAAAAATTGGATGAGAAATACTCTTTGACATTGTCACTTCTTAAAATTTTGATTACTTGACCGAATTGATTCTTGATTTCATTCAAAAAAGATGTGAAGATAGGCAACAATTTAGTACGATCGCTCACAAGATAAACCCCACGTACATCTCAAGTATTCATCAATGAATGTGACAAAATATTTAAAACCAAAAGAAGAGACGCCTAGGTTCCCAAATATCAGAGTGGATAATAGAGAAACTAGAATTACACCTTGTTTCAGACCTTTTAGGGAAGGTAGATCTAATATGTTTTCCTAATTGAAAAGACTCACATCCTAAGATCTAGAGACTACTAAGCTCATGGACCCTTTTTTTAACTTTGACAAATGAGGATGACCTAATCGTTCATGTAACAATTTAGGACTTGGGACTACAACACAGGAAACATGTGGACTAGATCCAAAATGGTATAAACCTTCAATTTTATATCCTTCTCCAATTTGTCTCCCCAAACCACGCTCTTATATAATAAAAGACTTGTTATCAAATATTATTGAACAATTTAACGTTTTGGTTAACTAATTTAATGAAATTAAATTGAAGGGACAATTGGAGACAAAAAGGACAGATTTTAGATTTAGAGCCATTCGCCAGGGTTATGAAATGATGTTTTTCCTTGAAAAGAAAGGGATGAGAACAAAGAGGTATTACCGGAGATGTAATCCGAAGCACCTAAATCAATTATCCATGAATTATGACCTTCCATGGATTGGGAAATACAGGTTGTTGATGTACTCGGAGTTTCAGAAGTTTGTGTCAAGTTGTTAGATTTTAACCTAACATACTCTTGATATTCTTCCTCAGTGAATCTGGAGTTGGCAGTTTCGACCTTAAAGATATTGGTTGTCTTAGCAGGAAAACCATGCAAGGAGAAGTAGTTTTCTTGGGTGTGACCCACCCTTTTACAGTATGTACACTGAGGATGCTCTCGGCCACCACATCCTCCCCTAGTGCCACGTCCTCCTCTTCCTCATGTGGCAACCATGACAGATGGTTCTACCGGTTCATGAACTTCCTTGCTTTGAGGCGTTGTGACTCGAAAGAGGCGTGTGGTCCAACTATCCATGGAGGGACCTCATGACTAGTAAGAAGTTGATCTCAGAGATGACCAAGGTCTAGGTGTAAAGCACAGAGAATCATCACCATATAATATTTATCAAGTTTCTTCTTGATTTCATCCAAAGATTCTACTTCCAAGAACATCTTTAGCTTTCCAATTGCAGATGGCGCTTCAGTCATGAAGAATACCATATCATGGTCAGTTTGTTTGAGAGATGCAAGTCTATTGGCAGAATCATAGAGATGTTGAATATCATTGCATAAATGTCTTGATCTTTCTTCCAAAAGAGGTGGCAAGTTTTAAAGGCTCTAAGGGAAATCAAAAGCCTCAGTTCCACAGTTTGCCATAGCAAGGCACACAACTGGAAATCAACTTGCTTCCACTGATTAGCCTTTTTAAAGAGGCACATGGCTTCCATCTTTCTCAAGGTGGTCATGATGACATTGGCCAAGGAACCATATTTCGACAGATGCAACCCACGAAATGTAATTTTTTTCCATTTAGTTTCTCAGAAGTAATAGAAGGACTTCCAGATAATGAAACAACAGCTCCGGTAGCCATTTCTGTTGTTAGAGAGCTAGAAAACAACTAGGGCAGGGAGACCCCTAAGGTGACCTTCACTAGGATGGCTTTTGAACTTCGCCAAAATGAAGTTTTGAGGGTCAGAATAGGAAAGGAAGGCTCCGCCGATACCCACAGAGGTGGCGCGACAACGTTCAGATGGGGAGAAGACGGCACGTGGGTGACACACGCCTGATTACAGCCGATTTTGACTAGGCGCGTGACGATGCGTGGGAGGGAACTGACTTCCGAGACCGCCAAGGTTGGTTTTCGCTCAGAGAGGCGATCTATATCCAATGGTCGTCGGAAGAAATTGTGATGGCAGACAGCGGCTCGAAAGATGAATAAGACAGGCAGAGTGGGATCAACCAGTTCTGATACCAACTTAACGTTAAAAAACAGGAAAATATAGTTTGGATGGAGGACTTGATCGCCCCTCTTAATCATCTTCTATTTATATTGAAAAGTTTTATACAAGAGAGCATGGAAGATCTAAGGTCGCACTAGACACCTAGGTACAAAACTAGATACAATAATAGGACAACTGGTAGATGTTTTCAACACACTACCCCTACTCAGACTTAATGATTACACATAGATTTAATAATTATTCTAACAAATCCAAATATAACATAGAAAGATAGACTTTGTTGGTTAACACTGAATGTTAGCCCTAAGACAACCCACTTCATGTTCAGCAGAAAAAAAAAATCTATCACATCGCCATTGACCTGGATTCATAAGATAAAAAGTCACAAGATAATATTTACAAGTTTCATTAAATAGTATCAACCATTTCTGAAGCATCTGCGATTTATATATGAAGTTAGAGTAATAAAAACAGAAAATTCCAAAATCAATACATAAACAACTAATATCACTCCCACACAGATCTGCAAAATGAGTATCGCCAGAAATAAAAAATATATCCCCAAAAAGGAAAATTCACTCACCTCTTGGAACACGACCTTACCCCCAGCCTGCAGTGTCTGATCATTAGGTTCAGGCTTAGGAGCAGCTAACGGACTAGAGGCATCATCTTCCTCATCGCAAAGCTGCAATAGCCGACAGATATCGGTGGAAAATGACCCAAGACTGCCACCCTATATTAACCCATAAACATAACAGTTCACAATCACAGCTTTACCACTAAAACTGCCATTCAGTTTCACACATGTTCATCACAATTGGAAAAGTATAGGTTAGAAACAGGCAACCATGATAGATATCTCAATTTTAATTCAAAAACAAAGTTCAATAGTTTAAGCTACGATGTTATCACCATGAAAATGATCTTACTTGCTGCAACGAAGATGCAGGCGAGGGCTCGTTAAGCTCGGCCTTCCACTCGCGAAGCATTTGATGAACTTGCTCCTCAAGCACTGCCGCATCAACCGTGCGACTCTCTTTCCTAGCAAACTGCAGATCCAGGAACATCACCTGCAGGTCATCCACACGGTTCTTCGCCTTGTCCTTAAAGAGCCTGTGCGATGCAGACTTGCAGCTGTTCTTGGGAACCTTCTTCATTGCCAAAACTGAAGTTCTGCCTACAGAAACCTACACTCACCAATATCACAAACTGAGTTTTAGTCCATCAGAAAAATAAAACCTGCCGAAACATATCAAATGAACACAACTTGCAGCGAAGTTATCATGATCAGAAGCATATTCCAGCATGACACCCTACAGACACAAAGAATCTAACAACCCCAGCCGAGAATTAGGTCAAATTGTATTAAAAAATTCTCCCCATTCTCATCTAATTAAATCCCCCGGCCACCATTTCGTGATGAAAAATAAACAAACCCTAAATATAGATCCAAACAATCAAATTATTTAAATCCATCACAACAAGAAATAACCCGAAACCTCAAAAAACAAAACATAAATTAAGCATGCAAATAAAGCCCAATTTCGACGAAAACGATAAAATCGGTTCGAGCGAGCACCGAAGCAGAACCGACCCAAGTCAATATTCAGTATAAGATCGAAAACCAAAACGCGAATTTGATGAAAAAAAATGGCATAACAAGAAGAACAGGAAAGAAAAGTTGCCGATCGATTGAAGGATGATTTTTGCAGTGAGGGACGGTTGTTACCTCAGATTCTGTGATAATCACTTTCTAACAAAATAAAAAGAAAAAAAGTAGTAGTATTCTTGAGCTGAAACACAAAAGAGTTCAGTTTCCTCACGCACTGTGTCTCGTATAAAAATTGAGAATGTGAGGAAACTTATATAAGGAAATGGAGATGGAAGAAAGAGGGAGAAAAGGAGTGAACAAGATAAATGCTTTTGAGTTGGTGACTTTCTCTCCCTCGTTTGCTCACTCCCGAGGCAATAAATGAATGATAGTTGGAATGCGTTTCTCAAATATAAATGCATGTAATAACACTACTATTCACTATTGACTTTTTAACTATATTTATTTTTTATTTAATATTTTCCTTTGGATATTGTAGTGTTCAAAATTATCAGATAACTAATATTATAACGAATAAATATCAAACATATTTTATCCTATATATGATTCAAGGTTTATGTCTATTAATAAAAAAGTAGATCTTTATAATGATTGACTCGAGAATATCGATCCAAGAAGTCTATATGGGTCAAATAAAAATAGGTGTAGATTAGGAAAATTAGATAAAAAAAAAAGAGAAATTTCATTTAACAGAGTCTTACTTTTGACAATAATATCTTAGCATCATATGTGAGAACGAAGAAAAAGTTATCTTTCCTACTTCACAACAATGGTCACATGTAATACGTGAGCAAACTCCCAACTGGTAGGAGACGATCATATCACAATTCAACACATGATGGTGATGAAGGCAAAGAACAAACATGACCAACTGAGTCTAAAAAACGAGGAGCTCTAACAACTATTGGCCACCATCAACATTTTTGGTTGCCATCATGAGTGGGCCCATACCTCCTCTTTATTTGGTCCCCAAGATGCAACCTTTTGATGGCACTGGAGATCCAGCCACCCATTTGAAGACTTTTCACACATAAATGCTTATTAGTGGGGAACTGAGGGGGTACGCTGCAACATGTTCGTAGGTACCGTCATCGTCACTGCCCTAGATTGGTTCAACAAGTTACCAAATGTGGCAATAACATCATTTGACGACTTGTTGACGATGTTTGTGGCACAATTCGCGATGATGTTCGACATCAAACAATAAAGCACCAAGTCATTAAAGGACTATATGCGAGGTAATTGTAAAAGTTCTGCAGCCCAATGAGACCATGTTCATCAACACCTTGTGAATTTGATGTTCAGTCGGGCAAGTTCTTAGGATTCATGCTGACTCATAGGGGGATCAAGGCCAACCTTGAAAAATGTTTGGTTATCATCAACATGAAAAGCTCGTCTAACCTAAAAGAAGTACAACAAATTTCTAGTTGAATGACTTCACTATCTCGTTTCCTGTCTAAAGCGGATGATTAAGGTTTTCCCTACATCCAATGTCTATGGCAAAATAAACAGTTTAGATGGACAGATGAATTCAAGTAGGTGTTCTCAGAATTAAAGAATTTCTTGTTCAACCCCCCGATCCTGTTGAAACTGAAGGGAGGCATCCCATTACATCTTTACATCACTGAGTTGTTAGTATTGATATCGCATAGCGAAATGTTTGCGTGTTAGGACAAAAACCAAGAGGGGAGTGAATTGGTTTCTTATAAGAAATTTCTCTTTTAAAAACTTTTCGCAAGTTTTACCAATTAAATGATAATATAATAAAGCACTTGAAATGTAAAGAGATAAGGGAAGAAAATTACATAAGCAATTTATACTGGTTCGGATCAAAAGACCCTACGTCCAGTTGTTAATCACTCTAAAAGAAGATTAACCCAGTCACTAAAACAATAGTTCAAATATATTACAAGTAATAAGGATTAGAAAACACCTCTTTTGAGTCACACAAGAGATGAACACCTCTTTTGAAGCCACAAAGGATGAAGACAACTTTTCCTAGAGACGGCATAACACATAATTCACCAAGAAACTCACTTAGTGATCCTTATCGCTTCTAGCCCACACTAGGTTACAAAAGCCCCTTTTTCTTTCCTACTCAAAGTTCTCTCAGCAATCACAGTTATAAACTTTAGTATGAAAAAGGTTGTGTTTACAGAGAGCCAGAGAGTTCCTTAAATAGATATTTTAGAGTTTAGAAATTAGGGTTTTCAAAAATAGGTCTAAATTTTCAATTTCAAAATCATAACTGACACAAATAATCGATTATTATAAGTGATAATCGATTATTACAAAGCCACTTTTCGAAGAGAACAAAATTTGACCAGGATAATCGATTATCCACAAGAATAATCAATTATTCTAGAGACTTTCAGATACCCAGGTGAACTTGGATAATCGATTATCATAAGTGATAATCGATTATCATAAGTGATAATCGATTATCATAAGTGATAATCGATTATCAATAATCGATTATTGATAATCGATTATCCCAGGTGATAATCGATTATCACAGAGTGTTTTAGTAAAAAAACGAACTTTCAGTGGACAGACTATGTGTTGACTATCTTGGACTCTATTTTTACAGACTCAAAATGATAAAATAGAGTTATTATAAATAGATACAACTATATATGAGTCTTCTAATCTTGAAGTCCTTTGTCTTCTAAAGCATCATCAAAATCTTCAGGCATCATACCCTTGTATTTTCAACAATCTCTCCCTTTTTTATGATGATCAAAATCTGCTTTAAAGCCCTTTGTAATAACCTGTTTTACTGTCACAACTAACATAGAAAAAATTAAACATACCAGGCTTTAAGTATTTTCTCCCCCTATTTTATCATAATAAAAAAGAATATAAGTTCCCTTTCAATATATGCAGAAAAATAATCAACTCCCCCACAATATATGCAAAAATAGATATTTATTGAAGTTTATCTAAAGCAATACACAATAGAGAAAAGAAAAATTGTTAAGATTAGAAATTCTAAAATTCTTTGCTCTTGGAATCACTGTTAAATTTCATGGCAAATCTGTCTTCTCGATTTGACACACATTCATCCACATCCAAAATGCAATGGATAATTTCCTGATGTCGTTCTGCAGAGATGGAAAAGAAGTCTTGCATTCTTTGGTTCATGCTAAAAATCATATCTTCAATAGAGGAGCGTGTTTTAGTATGAGCGCCAGAGGAAGTATTGCATTCTTTGGTTCATGCCTTTGACTCTCGTTGTTGTTACATGATCGCGATATTTGAAACGAGGGTAAAAGACCCTGACCAAGTCAGGATAATACGTTCCTTCCATTTCAACAAAAGGTAATATACCTTGTTGCTCAAGAAGATTTGGAAAGATGAATCCACGGTTGATGACTTGATCTCCTTTTAAGAATTTCGGAGAAATTATTCCTCTTTCTTTCCAGAATCTAAGAAACTCCTGTCTCTTCTCTTCGTCAGAGATCCATCCTTCAATGGAGTTTGGACAAGGTTAAGAAGAAGAAGCTGATCTTCTTCTGGTGGGGATCTTTCTTCTGGATGATGAAACCATTTAGGAAGAATGGGTATTTGGAAGAGAGAAAGATTTAATATTGAGAGAAGCAAGAGTTTGAGAGAGGCAAGAAACAAGAATGAGCTTGGAACTAAAGCAAAACACTTGGAAGAGAAGCTTGGAGTGAGTTTGGATGAGTTTCTAAGTGTTCATATATATAGAGAACATCTCCAATGACTATAAACGACTATAAACACAAGATTCAAGGTCAAGAGAGTCGTTGCCAACGACTAGTTTATGCCCAACAACGCTCAATAATCGATTATCAACTCATGATAATCGATTATTTGTTCATCAGCTGCCCAGAAAATTTTCAGAGATGCATGAATAATTGATTATCAACTGAGATAATCGATTATTCCAGAGAGTCTTTACAGGTTTCGCTTATTAAACTATGGATAATCGATTATCAGCTCAAAATAATCAATTATCTCAGGATGAATAATTGATTATTACCCAAGATAATCAATTATTCCAATACAAACTGCAAAGATTTTACAGTTTTACAGAGTTTAAGTTATTTCTAATATTCCTAAGTCTCTCCTAAGTTCATAGAATCTATCCTTGGGGAGAGATTTGGTAAATATGTTTGCTAATTGATATTTTGTATCTATATATTCAATTTTATAATTTCCCTTAGAAATATAATCTCTTAAAAAGTGATGCCTAATTTCAATATGCTTAGTTCTAGAGTGCATAATAGGATTCTTAGTAAGGTTAATTGCACTTGTATTATCACATTTCAAAGGAACATCTTTAAGAAAAATACTATAATCTTCTAGTTGTTGCTTCATCCAAAGAATTTGAGCACAACAATTTCTAGCCGATATATATTCGGCCTCAATTGTGGATAAAGCAACATAGACTTGTTTCTTAGAGTGCTAGAAAATTAAGGAAGATTCTAATAGATGACAGGTTCCACTAGTACTTTTTCTATCAATCTTACAACCCCCATAATCAACATCAGAAAAACCTATTAAACTAGGTAAAGCTCTAGAAAGATACCATAACCCAAATCTTATGGTTCCTTTCAGATATTTAAAAAAAAAATTTACTGCAGTGAAATGAGATTTTTTTGGACATGCTTGAAATCTAGCACACACACAAACAAAATGCATAATATCAGGTCTGCTTGTAGTTAAGTATAATAGAGAACCTATCATACCTCTATACATAGACTGATTTATTTCCAAACCTGATTCATCCTTATCCAGATAGCAGGATGTTCCCATTGGTGTGTTTGCTTCTTTGGCAGTATCCATTCCAAATTTCTTGAGAACTTCTTTGTAGTATTTGGTTTGTGTCACAAAAGTGCCATCTTTTAGTTGCTTAATTTGAAGTCTAAGGAAGAAGGTTAATTCCCCCATCATGGACATTTCAAATTCACCCTGCATTATACTTGCAAATCCTTCACACAAAGAGTTATCAGTTGATCCAAAGATAATATCATCAACATATACTTGGACTAGCAGAATATGTTCTCTTACTCTTTTAATAAACAAAGTAGAATCACTTTGTCCTCTTGAAAAACCATTTGATATTAGAAAATTGCTTAGTCTTTCATACCATGATCTTGGGGCTTGTTTTAATCCATAAAGTGCTTTCTTTAATTTAAAGACATGATCAGAATATTTAAAATCTTCAAATCCTGGAGGTTGTTGTACATAAACATCTTCTTTAATAAAACCATTTAGAAAAGCACTTTTGACATCTATTTGATACAATTTGAATTTCATCATTGAAGCATATGCAAGAAATAGGCGTGTAGCCTCTAACTTGGCAAAAAGAGCATAAGTTTCATCATAATTTATACCTTCCCCTTGACAGTACCCTTTTGCCACAAATCTAGCTTTATTCTTTGTTATGTTCTCATCTTCATCAAGCTTGTTTCTAAAAACCCATTTCGTTCCAATTACTTGATGGGATTCTTCTCTTGGAATTAATTCCCAAACTTGATTTCTTTCAAATTGATTTAGTTCTTCTTGCATTGCAATACACCATTGATCATCTTTGAGTGCTTCCTCAATATTTTTGGGTTCAATATGTGAACAATAGCTACAAACATACAAAAATTGGTCATATTTCTAGTACTTACCCCTTTTGAGATGTCACCAATTATATTGTCAATTAAAGTCCTCTTGGTGATTACTACTCTTTTTTGCCAATTCAATTGGTTGTGATGGTTCATTTTCATTTAAGTACATTTCTTCTAATACTTCCCTTATGTACTCATCATCACCTGCATATTCTTTACTTGACTTAAGAGGATT